CTTCAAATTTGTAAGGATTGGTGGGCTGACCCTCCAGAAACCCCCCAGCCAGTGTGGCTGGCCAGGGAATTCTGGGAGTTGAAGTCCACATATCTTAAAGTTGCTAAGGTTGAGAAACACTGGATGAAACTTTAAATATAAAATAGATACGGAGCAAACTTCAGCTGTCTTTAAATAAGAGCAATAAGAAGCAGTATAGCCAAGATCAATGGGGTATAATGAATGTGAAAACCTGCTGATGTCCACGTTTTTTTGTTTGTTTTTATAGGTAAAAGTAAAAACTGTAATTCTGTCTCCGTTGGAGCATTTCTCGATGACGACGATATGAGTTTGGAAGAAGTAAAAAACAGACAAAACGCTGCCAGAAATTACGGCCACGTTATAGCACCTAACGAACCAACTATTGGTAGCTTCGGAAGCTCGGAGTGTGACATTCTGTCCATTGAACATACTGGGAATATAATGCCAAGGACCAAAACCTCCAGCAGGCCATCAGAAAAAGGAGATCCTCCCAGTAAAAATGGATTTTGTAGTCCTGCAGCTGGTGATGATAGGACAGGAAACCACCATAGGAGGCACCCAAGCCAAGAAGAATGCTTTCCGTCCCCCGTTGCCAATTTAATGGAAAAATTTGATCAGTTCTCTTGTCAGGATCAGGCCACAGTGAGGGAGAGCTCACCAGGCAAGGCAAACCAGAGGGCAGCAAAAATTCGGAAATGCCCAGAGCAGCTGCCTAAAATGTGCTCCCTGCTTTCCAAGGCAGGTGCCACTGCTAGGAAGAACGAGGATCTCAAAAACAGAACCGAAGAGGGACACCCGCGAGAGGCAGAGAGGCCCTCGGCAGAAACCGAGGCCAGGGCTGGGGAGAGAAAGCAGCCGCGTGCTTCTGAATTGCCACTCGAGATGTCTCTACCCGGTTTTCTAAAGACGCCATCCCCAAGCGGAAAAACCAAGCAGCTGTTCCTTTTAGGGTATGAAATGGACTGTGGATAAAGAAAGTGGTTTCTTTGGGGACTCCACAGCAGGAAATGTATTTTTAAGGACATTTCCTACACTAACTGCTAACTTGTAATGTTTTTTAAATACGGACATGGCCCAGTTATTTCCCCCCCATCCCCACTTTTCACACACGACAAGTTCTAATTCAGGTATCACTTTCACTGCAGTGATACGTAGTGATAGGAGGACATCTGTTTCTGTAATGCAGAAAAGGTGGTTTTGACCCATTAATATAGCATGCTTAACTGTTAACTTAAAACACGGCTGTGGTGTTTGCACATGTTAAGCATGATTAATTTTTAACTTCGGTTAGTTTCTTTATGGCTTAGTGTGTTGTGAGAGCCCAACCTGTATGATTAGCTTATGACGTACAAACCCTAAAACTGGGTTAGTTCAGCCATCAAGCATGTTGTGGAATTATTTCAGTATTGTCAATTGATGTATGTATATGAAATTAAAAGCAAGTGAGTATGTGCATTGGACTTTGTTAAAGGTGGAAGAGGTGGTACAGTTTTTTGAGAATGTTGATGTTATTAATTTGCTCTGGGTCATTAGAGGTAAACGTTTCCAGTTTTGGCACTCTGTCAGCAAAGCACAGACAGGCTTTTAAAATGCTGAAATATCCGTCGGACGTTAGAGAGTAAGCCTCTCTCTGTGCTCAGCTTCCTAATCCAGTTCTCATTCTCTGCTTAGGGATCAGCCCTCAAAGTGGGACAGCGATGCGTTAACTGCATTACTTGGGGTAGAGATCGATGCCCAAAGGTATCCTGCCATTTACAAGTGGAACAAGTCTATACAGGCTTATCCTCCTTCTGAACGGCAAAGGTAAATACTCTAAAGCTTTAGACAGTTCTTGATGACCACGTACTTCTCTGAGTTGGTGTCTCATCCATTGCGGGGGGTGCAGGGGAGTGATATGGCACCAGTGTCGCCGTGTGCCATCGTTCTGTAACTAAACCGCTTGGGTATAACTACTCTTCTTGAGAAGCTGATTGTGCTGTTTGCAGGAGATTTACTTACCTAGAATTAACTGCAAGTTGGGTTTTCGCCGACACCCACCCCTTCCCCCCAAAAATGCATTCCCTTTTTTCCAGCTACATGTCCCCTCCAGATTCCCTTTTACGTGCAAAAGAAGGGGTCTTGGGGCATCTTTTGGGCAAAGGCACAAGTGCTTGCATCTTGTGGAGTCGATTATGGGAGGCAGAGAGACAGGGCTTATGCCTAGCTTCCCACTTTTTTCAGAAGCTTAGGGCTGGATTTAGGGGTGGACCTTATCCATCCACCAAACAGCGCTCTCCTGTTGCATTGCCCTGGGTAAGGAACAAGCAAGACGGTTGACTTCTACTTTGTACTAAAACCTGTACAACTACATCATTTAAAGTTAGTTACAAATGGTCTTTATAGGAAATCCATAGCAGCACTTTTTCTGGTGCTGTTTTGTTGTGTGTTGTTTTGACAGTTCTTTGTTACGACAAAGGCTTACGGCGTTCCGGTTTAGCATCAAGTCAGAAAACCGTTTCTCCATTTTACACTCTTACAATAGATAAAAATTGCTGCCTCTTTCTGACAGGTGGTCAAGTCCTTCACTTAAAGTCAAGCGTCAAGCCACCTCAAGCCCAGCAAGAAGTCTGCCATACTTGACTCCAGGAAAGAACAGCCCGGGGAAGTACAGTGCAGCGGCTGCTACCTTCTCCCCGGATTTAGGGAGCCCGGGACGGTATACCCCAGCGTATGTGAACTACCTTCTTTTGTCCAAAAGGCAACAGTTCTCAGGACTGCCTAATCATTAGCATGGGATCCTCCACACTGGCAATGAAATGTTTAAGTGAAGGAAATTTTGGATTGTTGAAACACTGACAGGATGGTTTCCCTGACCACTTTTATTTATTTATTCTTGGAAGAGGGGGCTGCTGGCAGAGAATTATTTTCATTCCGTTTACCAGACTGTCAGTGTCCTGTAAGTTAGCAAGTTACTCCTGAAAATCACCTGAACAGTATAGTGATCATGGACTGAAGTGGCCTTTTTGGACTCATTCACTGAGATCCAGTCTGCCTGTGATTCTTCCTCTCCTTGGAATCCTCTTGACTGTAGCATCTGTAAAGAGTTGAGTTGTCATAATTAGTCTTCCAGTTGGGCTGAGAGAGAGGAATAAGTAACCTTTTTTCCCAATGGGTACAGAGTGCAAACTCACGATTTACGATCTCATCTACTTAAGATTGTTAAAAAGCATAAGGGAACCTGCTGTGGCCTCCGCTGAACCTTTAAGAAAAGCTAATGAAAGAAATAACACAAGTATTTCTCCCCATTTGCCCTTCTTTCTTTCTGGTCTCAGGCAGACTTTGCAGCTCCGACAGAAAAGCTCATTAGCAGTAATAAAGCCATCGCTGGCTTTCCCCTTGAGAGCTAAGTTCATCGTTGCATACCATGGGAGCAAAAACCATCAACATTAACTCCATGTTTGATGAAAACCTGTTACTTTAAATCCCGTGCCATTTCATGATCGCTAATTTCTGACAGAACATTTTAGAATAAACCTGCCCGACTCCACATTCCTAATGTTGATATTCACTGCAAGCCATTTTCTAATAGCCTAGCTCCCTACTGCGATTGTCTGTCCGTGTGTAATTTGGAGATAATCTCTAGCAGGGAGGGAAAGAAGATACACACAAAATGGGAGATTCTCTTAATCCTCGGGTTTAAAGAGAGTGGTGGCGAGGGTTATTTACTACACACTAACTTGAAATAATCACAGCTTCAGGAACTGCACCGGTGGTTTCCTTACCCATGTGTAACCAATGTTTTATATACTACTTCTTTGATGTTTTTGGTACTAAAACTTCAGAACTGCACTCAAGACTCTTCCAGTTTTATTAGTGCCTTTTGTAACTTTTATGTTTGGTATTTCAGTCTTGCTTTTAAATTAGTAATGTTCCCTTATAGATTAAACACATTTTAACTTTCCACTTTTGGAGTTTTTAAAGGTATCATTTATAGTTTAAAAGATTCCAACAGATACTGTAACCATCTATTTATTTTATATATGTAATGTAAGTGTCCTATACATAAATAACAGATACTCCCAGTTAAAGCCAAACCTGTTACAAATTAATTTGAGGATCATTGGGATAGAAACGCAACCAGGTTTTGGGGCAGCTCCCTCGTGAGCCACCTTGCATTCGCTATCTGTGTTGTTCTCCAGAAAGTATAAAATCTGTCCAGGTTGTACTGACATATCCCACCCTAAAGACTGTGGTGGGTTGTGGTACTAAGGAAAAAAACAGAAGAAATGCACCAGAGTTCTGTAGTGCAATGTTGAGATAAAGTCAGTTTCTAAAAATCCTTTAGTGTACTATGGTTTCTGAAATTCAGCCTTCATGCTCAAAGTGCTCTATGCACATTACACCTTGTAGACTTAATGGTACAAAGCCAGATAGGGCTATTCTAGGCATTCACAGGTCTTCTTGTGTAAAGCTTACTCCATGGTATAAAGGAAAGCCTTCCTGCTAAGCCACTGCAAATAATTGGTTAAAACCATAAGCAACTGACCAATTTCCTTTGCTTTGTTAATACTTTTGTACTCAAGGGTGTTTCTGGAGCACAAATGTTCAGTTAACACTTTTGTTGAGATGTCTGAAGAGAGGTCAAATTATTGGTGTTGAAAATATTGTCTAAAATCGACTTGTGTATTTTTGGGGGGGGTCAATGTGTTAATGTGAATTTTAAACAAGCTTATTAAATTTGTTTATTTAAAACGTGTTTTCTCTATTAATCAGTGGATTGGTTTTGCAATTTTAATACAAAACCTGTGGTAGCTATTTGGTTTCTGCACTTTTATATTTTTTGCTGGGGCATGGAAGCAAAGTCACAAAGGCCTTATGTAGTACATCAAAGTATGTAAGACGAGAAAAACCCAATGGATGACTAGCACGTGTTAATGGCATGTAAGTTACACATTCCAGGGCTTTTTAGAATCTGATCCAAAGCAGCAGCTGAAATTACTAGGATGTGGTATTTCATAGTCTCTTTTCGTTTCAATTCCCTCTTCCCACTAAAATAAAATCAGATGCCGTTGCGCTGCGTAAGTAGCAAAGGCCCAGACAAGTGTCATACTTCTATTTTTGCATTTATAGAATCTTGGTATTCAATCTCAGAATTGAAATCTTGATTTAAAAACTTCAACCACCCTCTAGGACAGCCTTTCTCAACCTTCCTGGAGGAACCCTTGAAATATTTTTCATGCTTTGGGGAACCCCTGCACATTCAGGCTCAAATATAGGCCAGAAGTTAGAAAATTATTATATTCATTTCATGTGTAGGCCTGTATATATGCATTAGCAATGTTCTTAAAATAAAGAATGAAGCTTATCTCTTTAATGTGAAACCTGTGCTTGTTTTTTGCTGTACAAATAATTCTGGGCCGAACTTCAGATAAGCGCACACAGATTTCATCTTCAACTGAAATAAGATTTGTTTTTGATGCTTGTTCAATAAGAAAAAGCTTGCTCACATGTGTAAGAAGTTGAAAACTGCAGCAAAATGTTCAATGCCTTCCTATGAATGGCAGGATACTCTTTCACAGAAATCCAGGTCTTGTCCATGGGCAGATCAGTGAATCTCCTCGAGTGTGTAATCACACTGCAGCTCACAAAGTTCTTCCTCTTCCTTCAAAGTGGAAGCAGCAGTGGAAACACTTCAATATTTCCTTCGGCACCGTGATTTTTCCAAACATTGTTTTCTTTTAAAGCCAAGAATCTTGCCACTTGAAGTCAAAACATTTTCTCCAGGGCCTTGCAGAGACTTGTTCAGCTGGTTCACATCATGAAAGATGCCCACTAAGTATGCTAGTTTCTGCAACCATTCTCCATCTTCAAAGTACTCAGCAAAATGCGGAATACTATTTTCTCAAAGATACTCTTGCAACTCCGCCTTCAGCTCAAACGCCCTGTTGAGAACTCTTTCTCTGCTGAGCCATCATATTTTGGTATGTAACAGGAGACTTATGTGCTCTTTGTCCAGGTTTTCAGAGTTTTTAAAACATTCTTGAGTGAACTGGTCTTCATTTAAGAAAGTTAACGATTCTTGTAGTATCATCCAGAGCTTTTTTCATCTCCAAGAGTTTATGACACCAACACCGCTCTGTGAAGAAAGCAACGTGTTGTGATGATGTCAGGATTTTCTTTTCTTACAAGAGAAGCGAAACCTCTCATGCAGCCAACCACTGATGGAGCACCATCAGTACAGGCTAACACAGCCTCTAAAACTGTGATGGACTGGAATGGAGGAAGGGGGGTGAAAACGGTGTTCTCGTCTCCAGAGCAACGCTCTAGAGATAAGCGGAGAAAGCTGG